AAATATTTTACCCGTCACCAGTTGGACTCGTGATTAGGAAATATTTTACCCGTCACCAGTTGGACTCGTGATTAGGAAATATTTTACCCGTTACCAGTTGGGCTCGTGATTAGGAAATATTTTACCCGTTACCAGTTGGACTCGTGATTAGGAATTATTTTACCCGTTACCAGTTGGACTCGTGATTAGAAAAGATTTTACCTTAACAAGTTTGATTCCTAATAAGGAAAGACTTTACCTGTCACCAGTTGGTTTTCTAATTAGAAACGATTTTACGTAGTAATTTCCATATATAATGCCATAATTTATCACAGACTCTGTCTGCCCAGTCATTATAGTCGTCTTCCTTTGGGCTAGGCGTGGCATAGTGCTTAACATGCCGGGCTGTGAGTCAGTATGCCCCAGATTCATGCTGCGATACTTCCGAGCACGCTTCGCACTTTCAGTTATGGCTGCGTTGTAACATCATCAAAGTTTCAACTACGTGTCTTTTGGTTCTAAATTCGATCTCTGTTCGTATGTGGGAACTAAGATAAACCTTGCTAATGTCTTATCTATATTTATGTATTAATACAGATTTTAATCTCTTGTAATTCCCTGATGGACTCATCTGTTTCTGTAGGAAAGAGATCCCGCTTTGTATCATTGACAACGAAAGCTATGAAAAGGATTCGGTGCTCTATGTAGAGCTTGGAGATCCGAGACTGGAAGAAGGTAAGAAATACAGGGCTTTGTTTACATAAAGTTTTAAAATATTTAAAGATTAAAATTCACAAGTGAACTTCGAAGTTTATAGGATCACTTGTGTCCTGATGGGAAATAATTATAATTTCTGTTAAAGCTGACGTAAATAAAATGAGGGAAAATATGGCTGTAGACTAATATCCTGATTATAAAACTTATGAAAAATAAATCAAATTACAGAATTTACATCAAATTTCTTCGACAATCTTAAACAATAAAATTGTATAGTATCGACTTAAAGCTTGGAAAATGGATGCAACTACGTCCCACTACGTTTCAACTTGTTAACTTGTTGAAACGTTGTGTGGCAAACTTTTATGGATGTTTCGAGTTTTTAATTATTATTTTATTTCCTCAAATTTTATGTGTATGTCGGAAATTAATCCTGGTGAATTTATGCAAAGAAAGAGAGAAAAAAAAACATATTTCTATTAAATTTTTTAAAGAAATAAATAACAACATTCTTAAGAAAATATACAAAAAAATCCTAACGGTAACAAATCGAGGAATTTTCGTCATTAAATAAAACTTTTAAATTATGATAAAAATGAGTTACCACAGGGTTACTGGATGGAACAACCCTGAGGAATGGGAAAAAAACACAGTAACTATATTCTAGTAACAAACATCTGGGTTATTTTAGATCCTATATTGTTTTGTTGTTATGGGCTTAATGAAAATAAATGATAGCCAGAAACAATGTGTATATTTATGTATATATATCTAATTCCTGATAAGAAGAGGTCTCGGTCTGATAAATTATTTAATCCAATAAAGAATTATTTTCAGACGAAAAATTAAAAAAAAAGGTAATAAAATCGCTTTTTGTAAACATTTCACCGAGAAGATTAAATCTGTTCTTTAGGATGTACAATTCTGCTTTTTTCTAATAATTTCTTTATGCTGGTTAACTATATGATTTTAATCATATGTGCCATAAAATATGTTTCTTTCTGTGTTTGGTATATTTTATGTCAACAGCTTATTAGTACATGCATTCTAGATGATGATGAAACCACCTTTCAAGACATCAACAAGAATTCCCCAAACGCTGAGCTAACAGAGGCTGAAAAGATTGCAATGTTAGGAAAGCCGAGACTGGGAGAACAATACAAGGCTACCATTCGAATCAAAGAGAGTAAGGAATTTAAGGTAACGTTGTACTTATTCACAATGAGGTACATACATCAAGATTGGTGTACTGTGTTTTAAGAAACGTATTAAACCTAAGATAAAATATCTAGTGGTTCATCCAGGGAGAAACTGATTAGAATCCTAAGCATGCTCTTGATCTTATCACATTTCGAGAAACAGCATTCGTTGTAACTGATGCAAACAACCTTTATGGCGGAAACACCATACTCAATATTCGGAGCCAAGTATAAGAGATGCATTAAAATCAAATAGAGAGAACAATATAAGAAGGTTTCGGAACCAATTATGTGTGATACAGAAGATTCTAGTAGGGAGAACACTAATGGAAAAGCTGGGAGTACTGTATGTGTGATACGGTAAGGAGAACACTAATGGAAGAGCTGGGAGTACTGTATGTGTGATACAGTAGGGAGAACACTAATGGAAGAGCTGGGAGTACTGTATGTGTGATACGGTAGGGAGAACACTAATGGAAGAGCTGGGAGTACTGTATGTGTGATACGGTAGGGAGAACACTAATGGAAGAGCTGGGAGAACCGTATGTGTGATACGGTAGGGAGAACACTAATGGAAGAGCTGGGAGTACTGTATGTGTGATACAGTAGGAAGAACACAACAGAGTAGTTGAGAGCCCAGTATATGTAACACAATAAAATCCCCCAGTGAGAAAATTTAAAGAAGAGCAGTTAATCATGTAACTAGTACATTGAAGCTCGAGTGAGAACACCTATGAAACTTCATATACATACAGTGAGAAAAAACATCATGTAAGGTGGGAAACTGTAAGGTAAGTAAGACAATAACTTCGTTCTAAGTGTCAAAATTGGGAAGTAGGTATCGTCATACAACTTTAGTAAAATCGACGAAGAAAATAATTTCAGCTTTAAATAATATAGGAACGCAATTATTCACCTAGGCTGAATATATATGGTAGCCAGAATATATATGGTGTTAACTAGAAACTGAAACTACTCTCCTCAATCCACACTGTTTTTACTGATATATTCAATCGTGTGGCAGGAAAACGGTTTTACAAGTGCAGGTGCTATTTCACTCACAAGATATCATTGTAATACACTAATGTTATAAATCATTCTTACGTTATATTTACAGGATACTAGAACATGCTAGTGTGGTTCCGAGAACTTGGACTAGAACTCATTTTTGACAATACTTGAACAACGCTTAGTGATATATTACCGATTGTTGTTTTTTGAAAACCATCCAGTCTGGAGGATGAATCTTGATCTCTGTTTTACTTTACATGCGTACATATATATATCTATAAATATGTAAGGAGTAGTTTCACATCAAAAATTAGGATTATAATATTTTTAACTATGGAAACTAGATTGTTTTATATGTAATAGATACGTACTCTTACTAAATTAACATAAAATGTAAGAAAAATTTATATTTATTTTCAATATAGGGAGGTTCGATAATTGATATTTCTTGATAGAATGGGTTGTAAAGAATCTTACCTATTAGAATTTCGAAAAGTGTTTTGACTTTAAAGATTTTACAGTTTAAAGTAAGTGTTTTTACTGAAGGAACTATATTGGTATTTGCGAATGTTGTCGACACTCTTACCAAAAGCCTGAATAATTAATACTTGTATATCAAACCCTTGTCTATCACAGAGTCGACCATTGAAGTGAGAGGTTCGAAATCTTAAACATAGCTAAGGTAACTTAACAATATACACACCATGGATTATGTGTGTAATAATAACATTTTAAACTTCTTGTTAGGTAATCAAATGATATAAGGCAATAATGATCAACCCTGCTACAAATTTTAAAGTAGTTTTTACGTGATCAAAATTCGAATAACAGTTAAAATTGGTATACAAACAACACAAAATCCATGTAACTAACTTTGCTTTTGGAGCGATATTAAAATAGTATTGCTCCAATATTAAGAGAGGGAAACCAACTTCGTACTAATTATTAGACCTTAGAATTAAGTCACGAGATGCAACAATGCTTAAATTCTGTCACATTTACGACTCTAAGCAAAAAATACGTACAAAATGCCTCGCTGATTTTCGGGGTAATATGTAAAGAAAGCTCACACGGCTCAGTTTCAAGCCATTTGTTACAGAATATCCAAGGTTTTTTTTATACAATTGTGAAACAGCATATCCTCATGTTAAAGAAAGTAGCAGACATGGTTTCAGAGGTAAAAGATAATAACTGGGGATTTAACAAATAACTAAGTGTTATAACACTTACACGGTAATTCATTTATAACACAACCATCAGTATAAAAACGTATTAGAAATACAAATATCAAAGGATAACTTTAATTGAATAAATGGAATATCATGAGATAATAAAAAATACAAGAAAAATGGCAACACTTATATTTTACGCGAGAAGCTTTTTTCATGAAATAAATTACGTAATGATTATGTGACTTTACCATTCATTTATTATTGTAGAATCTTCAGCTAACATTATGTTTATGGATTTTTGTGCGTGTTCAGAATGGAATTCTTCAAAAAGGGGGGTTAAAGGGAACAGCTTCACTGAAATTCTGTCTGTCCGTCACGTTCTCGTTGATACGTTCATCGCTCAGTGCACCTTCAGCCAAAATAATAAAAAAAACATGTGACTACAAAAATAAGTTCTTTGAAATAAGATTAATAGAAAGATCTGGAATGGATTTCAAAACAGGTCTCGTTAGATCAGTTTTCTGCTCACGTGCGTGTTCCGCATGAACTGTCTGAAAGACTAGACGTAACGTAACGAGTTCTGTAAAATATTCAAGGTGTAGAAAATAATATAAATATCGACAAAGACATTTTACGTTTTTTTACTGTAAACACGACGCAATACGTACCTACTCGTTCCACTAGACGTTTTCTTTTCTGTAAACACGACGCAATACGTACCTACTCGTTCCACTAGATTGTTTTTACTGTAAACACGACGCAATACGTACCTACTCGTTCCACTAGACGTTTTTTACTGTAAACACGACGCAATACGTACCTACTCGTTCCACTAGACATTTTTGCCGTAAACACGACGCAATACGTACCTACTCGTTCCACTAGACGTTTTTTACTGTAAACACGACGCAATACGTACTTACTCGTTCCACTAGACTTTTCTTTACTGTAAACACGACGCAGTACTTATCTACTCGTTCAACTAGACGTTTTTTACTGTAAACACGGCGCAGTACGTACCTACTCGTTCAACTAGACGTTTTTTACTGTAAACACGACGCAGTACGTACCTACTCGTTCCACTAGACGTTTTTTACTGTAAACACGACGCAGTACGGTGACGTTGTTATTCTTTCTTTTGATTTTTTTGTTAATTTGTTTCTCGCTATTGTATTTTTCACTTTGTGGCTCATTATAATTAAGCAGTTCTACGTTTTTAATCTATAATTATTAGTTTATTATCAGATTATTAATCATGTTGATGTGGTGTCCTACGTTCTATCAAAATTTCGTCAATATTTACCAAATCATGAAATAGATCTCCTGTATTGTTATGGAGACTTTCAACGGCATATTAATGTTGTTGTAACGACACGACTTACTTGCTGTATTTCTTTCGAACTTATGAATCATGCATGAAATAGATCTCATGTATTGTTATGGAGACTTTCAACGGCATATTAATGTTGTTGTAACGACACGACTTACTTGCTGTATTTCTTTCGAACTTATGAATCATGCATGAAATAGATCTCATGTATTGTTATGGAGACTATGAACGGCATAATAATATTGTTGTCACGACGCGACTTACTTGCTGTATTTCTTTCGAACTTATGAATCATGCATGAAATAGATCTCATGTATTGTTATGGAGACTATGAACGGCATAATAATATTGTTGTCACGACGCGACTTACTTGCTGTATTTCTTTCGAACTTATGAATCATGCATGAAATAGATCTCATGTATTGTTATGGAGACTATGAACGGCATAATAATATTGTTGTCACGACGCGACTTACTTGCTGTATTTCTTTCGAACTTATGAATCATGCATGAAATAGATCTCAT